GAGACAGAACTCACCAGACAGACATAAGTTAAAAAGTTTGAGTGCCAGGTGTTAATTAAGGACGGCGTAAGACACAGAACCCCCATTTATTGCTGGGGGAAATATGAACTGGCGCAACCGCTTTGGAAAATAGTTTGGCCTTAACTGGGATATGTATACCTTAGGATCCAGCAATTTCACTTTCAGGCATTTACTCTGAAGAAGTGTGTCTTGGGATATGCATCCAAACTGGAGAAAACTGAAGCATTCATTAACAACAGAATGGTTCATTGAATTGTAATATTCCATACACAGGCATACAATGTAGTAGTGAAAAGGAATGAAATATAGCAACAAACAACGAAGATTGAAATGTGTAACAACATGGAGGTATCTTAAAAATTGAATATTGAGCAATAATTAAAACTCAGAAAAAATATATTCTGATTATTTTTATGTGAAAATTAAAGGCAGGCTAAATCAAACTGTACTATGTTTAAAGATCCCACTCAGTGGAGAAAACTATGGGAGGAAAAAAGCCAAGTAGGATTCCCATAAAATTAGGATTGTGGCAGGTAAGGTGAGGATCACAGGAAAGAGTACTTTCAAGATGGTATTTCCTGGGTTGGAGTTGTGGCTCAGTGGTACAGCAGTCACCTAGCAGTGTGAGGCCCTGGGTTCTATCCTCAGCACCACATAAAAATAAATAAAATAAAGGCATTGTGTACAACTAAAAAATGAATTTTTTTTAAAAAAGATTGTATTTCCTGACCTTGATGGTGGTTACATAGATGTTCATTTTATAACACTTCATTAAGATGGACATTTGTATAGGTACAGAATTTTTCACTATATCAAAAAAGGTTTCAAAGAAAAGTAAAGAAAAGGAATGTAGGAAATTATATTCTTATTAAAATAGCATTAAAATCACAAGTAGATTTGAGGAACAGTCTTCAAAGAGGCAAGGATGCTTTAATACATTTGCCACCTCAATAATAGAAAGCATAAGGAATTGGAAAATGTCCTTACTACCCAGTTTTATTTAAAAAAAGGTTTTATTATAAAAGCCATTTTTATTCTGCTTTTTAAAATTAGAGTTGAATTTTTTAAAAAACTTTTTGACAAGTATGAAACTTGTCTTACCAGTGGATGGTTGGACCTTAACGTTTTTTGAAGAAATAAAAGTGAAGTAGCTGAAAGTATTGGTGTTATTCTGCCCTGTATGTTATATAGATTGTCATTCTAGCAATGGCAAACATGCAAACAGTTCCTAAGCCAAAGAAATTGTCTCTCATGGTAGTTTCCAGAATGTTTTTTTTCCCCTTCCCAGCTTTATTTTTCTCTACAAGCTCTTACTTATACAATTTATTTGTTTTTACTGTCACAATCCACGCTAGAATGCAAACTCCCTGAGGAAGACACTTTGTCTCTTTGTACACACTGTAAAGCCCCAGCACCTAGAACATGATAATCACTCCACAACTGTTTACTGAAAGAATAAGAGTATGTACAAGTTACGAGCTATGTAGTGATCCTGTTTTAACATAAAAATAATGCATTACAAACAATATTCCACTAATATTGGTTTCCAAATCAGATATCTCATCTAATACTCCCCTAATTTATCCATTTAGAAGTATATTTAAACTTCCTGGGCTGTAGCTAAGTATCAGAGCTTTACCTAGCATGTGTAAGGCCCTGGGTCCAATCCCCAGCACTGCAAAAATACACACCACCACCACCAGCAGTACTACTACTACTACTACTACTACTACTAATAATAATAATAAATTAAATTTATTAAGTTTAAAATATGGCATACTTAATTCAGATAGTGCATATATTAAATATATATGTGCACACAAGAAATGCCTTTGTTAACATTAGATTACATTCACATAAAACTAGGGAAAGAAAGGGATGCAATCCAGAGATAAAGCCTAGAAGTGTGTGTGTGTGTGTGTGTGTGTGTGTGTGTGTATTATTCTTGAAGTAAAATTCAGTAATCATATTTCAAGCTTCCAGAATGAAAGCCTATTTTAAAGCATAGTTAAAACTTATGCAGTATCTGTCAAATCCCTTACCAACTACAGAACCTGTTTCTCCTTAACTTCTCCTATCTCACTATCTGAAGAGACTAAGAATCAAGAAGCGCTCTCCCTCACCTAAGTGTGAATGCTACTGCAGATATATTTTTACTACCTTCATTGTTGTTTAGAAGTTTTAGAGACAGATGTCTTCCTCAGCTTCCAGAATACTATTCTGTGGAATCAATATTGAGTCATTCATCCTTGTCCACCCTCTCATCCACTGATCAGTGGAAATTGATGCCATGTTTTCTCAAACCCTTCAAATGCTTTCTGCATCATCCAGAAAAATATTTTATTCTGGCTTTCTGAAAATGAGTGATTCTTACATGGTTCAGGAGTCTACTAATCTGGCAGCTACTGTCAGAGACTAGTCCACACACAGAACACTGAAAACCCAGAGCTTGATTTGCCTCTCTCCCTCCTCTGTGTGGCTGTTCTAATTATTATTTGAAATGACTAAAGGCTGGAATAATAAGCAGGGTCCATCAGAGGACAGAAATCTATGCCAGATATTTTAACAGAAATAATTTAGTGTGAAGAT